GCTCTAGTTAATGTTTTGGCAAGACAGTACAGCTCTTATGCGATGCCTTTGAGATCTCTTTTAGAACACAGTGTAAAGCTTAATTTAATTCCACATGAACGATGAGAAAGTATGATACGAAAGGGTATCTGGCTGGAAGGACTGTCCAGTGGGAAGCTCTAGGAAGCACTAGCATGTAGAGTCCTGGGAGAAGAGCCAGCTACTAAAATGAGAAATACCACAGACGCCACGAAGAGGTGCCTGAGAAGGCAGAGTCTCTTGCGGAATATAAGTTAGGAGAGTAAGGATTTCTATTTTCTATCTTTCATCAGCATTTTCACAAACTGATATTTAATCCCCACTGAACATTTAAGGAACCACGACTAGAGCTGATAATCACCAACGAGCAACGAGGGGAAAATGCTCTTTAGACGATGCCGCTCAGCTCCCCACTCCCGCAGCCCAGGGAGACATGCTGGAGCTCTCTCCCCACGGGGTGTCAGGATGTTGGGAAGAGGAGTGATGGGCAGCCAGACTTCCAAATGCAGAGAAAAGCAAACTCACTTGAAATGGGTGCTGCACGCTGAGAAAATAACGCTCAGAAACACAAGAGTGTTAAATAAAACAGATGGCTGTCCCAGGGTACTTCTAACTGCCTAAAAAATATGAAGCTATGCTAGAAAAATTGCACACTAAAGAACGCCAAGGCCTAGAGCAGACCCTCACTAGACATCAAAAGCCCTGAGCTGCAAGGAAGATAAGGAAAAGTGAAAACATTCCCCTCTGATCCTTCAAGAAACTGTTTTGGGTTTGGTTTTTTTTGTATGTGAATGAACATAATACCACACCGTGAGAAGGTGAAGAGACGTGCTGTTTGTGCTAAAGGATCCTGTTCACAGGCTAGAAATACACATGACTCTGGATTTGTTCTGCCAACACGTTTATCATCGCGCCTTTCCAAGTAACGCTGCAAACCACTCACGTTTTGTTCGCAAAGCAGTTTGAGATCATCTCTCTGCGGAGAGCTCCCCACACCCCACTGTGTCTCCAAGTCGTCGATCTGATTGGGGGCGTGGTGTATAATGGGGCGCATATCTCCTGCAGCACTAGGATCGACCGTCAGCTCCTTCACCCTACGAGCAGAAAACGTTTCGTTGGTAAATTAGTAACTTCCTGTGCAAAAGAGATGCAACCAAAGATAAAGATCTATGGGTTTATGCACGATTAATTCGTTTAATAAGAATGATGTCAGCTTCACAAATTCAATGTACTTTCAGTGACCAAAAAATGTCAGGCCAGCTCCTAAAAAAGCATGGGCCATTGAATTTCAGCTACTTGCTGGAAGATGGACTGTAACCCACCTGCAAGAGGCATGTTGTGATCGAAATCTTACTGCTCATTAACAGCTCAGAGGGCATCCAAACCCTCAATATTAACTCCTTAACAATGAGGAAGTGTTTGAAATGAAAGTTAATTCAGCACCCTGAACCTGACCATCTTTCTTTTTTAAAGCACAGCTGTGTGCAGAGAAAAAGGTAGCCAATCCCCCACTAGCTGTTCTAAGCACATCCACCAAGAACTCTGAAGAAAGTAATAATTTGCAACCAAGCATCTCAGAGAATGAATACATCCTTGAATTAAAATAATTTCAAATGTGAAAATACCTTATTGGTATGTTAGGCTCTTGCAGCATGAAAAATAGTTTAAGATTAATAATGATTCTGTCAAAAACCCATTGAAAAAGCTGATGGAACAGACACAAAATCTGCAAGTATAGCAAGCTTCAGAACGTATTCTTTAGTTTTTTGAAAGGAAAAATGTGTGGGTTTTTTTCAAGTAGCACTTATTTACTACAATGGAAACTGTATTTCATTCATCGTCAGAGTAATGAGAAGTTTTAAAAATATGTATGAAAACTGTTTTCTCTTTTAATTGAGGATACTCAAATTTCCCTAAACACAGACCTGTCCACTGAATGTGTGACGGTGACATCACCGTTTTTAAATGTATGAAGGAAACTAGCAAGCCTGGATAGAGAGTGTGGATGTTTAAGGAGGGGGAACAAGGTACTGGGAAGATGATTGCAGATCATGCAGAACCATCACCTGCCAAACAAAATAAAACCAAAGTATGTGTGACTCAAGGCAAGGGGACTAATGGAAGGCTGGTCCGTAAAATTACATAGCCAAAAAGGAAACTTAAAAATAAAGATTCCATGTATAGAATGAATTAGACCTGGTGATTGAAGGAGAAAAGTCGTCATACTCATAGGAAGGAGAGAGATCAGAGCGACTGCCACTACCCTGTGAGAAGGGAATGTCCGAAGGACTAATTCCAAATTCCTTTACTCTGCAGCAGCAAAATACAGCAGCGAATTAAAAGAAAATTGTTCTCATAAACACAGGTAAAATGACAACTCTTTGTTTAGCATACGTCTTCAACAGTATAAAATTACATTAAAGCACGAGTGTGCCAACATATTTAAACCTTCTCCAAAAAGAGTTACACATCACTAACGAACCTGAACAAACCCAGTGCTGCTAATCTGCAGGGAACTGTAACAGCAGTGTTTTCAGAAGAGTAATTCCAGATTTCACTTCGTGCAGTTAATAAAATTCGCTCTACATTCGATATTGCACTAAATGGCTCCTCTGAAAACATCAAACCACTACAGCTACAAAACTTTAAATTCTTGTCTGCTCCCCCTCTTACACTGCACACACGCTGGTGGTCCAGCACCTAAAATTATAGATTGCTAGAAAAAGCTAAAACACTACACAAAACATTTCAAGCAACTTTACAGCATCTGCTCCGTAACTACATACAAATTTAACACCAAGGGGAAGAAGGAGTTTCAGCTCAACTGTTTAGTATACTAGAAACAGGTGTTTAATTAGTTTTGCAGTGTCTTTTTCTGGGGTCACTTCATCAGTGCATATGCTAAGAGGGGTGAAAGATGCAGTGAGCCCTGAGGGATGAATGACTGCGCAAAGCCCTCCGTCAGGGGACTGTACGTGGTGGAGTAGATGCCTCCTTCTCACCGGGAAGGAAGTCACACAGGCTGGTCCAAGCCAGGCAGATCTGCTGCCAGCTCCCTCGATCCAGACGCAGAGACATTCGGGTGTGGAGAGGAGCAGGCGCTACGCCTGCCTCGCAGCCCTTTGTGCCTGGTTAGTGACTGGCCGCGGTGCCCGGCCAGGCACGAGCAGAGGTGGTCCTGCCCTGCCTTTCACTGGGGCAAGCAGGACACTAGGTGGTAGCCTCTCCTGGCAAACCCCAGGCTTTCTGCCTGGCCCAGAGTCGTGTCTGCCTCCTGTTCTTAGCAGCAGAGCGTGGGGATGGGGGTGTCTCTGGTCCAGGTCTGACTGCAGGGACACGCAGGGCCTCACCACCCCATCTCCACTGGCGTTCAGTGGGGACTGCAGCAGGGGGAGGCCCCGCTCACAAACACCTTCAGAGGGCAGTACAGGCCTCGGAGGTGCTGCATCAGTCTCTAGAGGTGCCAATTTCTCTACACCGATTATAAAGTCACTGCTGGATTAACTGACTCTTTACTTCGGGGTCTCAGATAATTGCCTGAAGTTGGGAAGTACAAAACTTCCTGTGTGTGTATGAAACTGACTGGCAACTGCACGCAATTCCACCAAGGGGAAGGGAAAAAAAGAGTCACCTTGCAGAAAGGCATTTCAGCTGACACCCCATGGAAACACCATGAACCCGGACTACCTCTAAGGCAAGAGATTGTGCCCCCGGAGCAGAGGCAAAACTAATAGTGGCATCTCCCACATTCCCGACAATCCACATTATCCGCCTCTGGATAATGGCTTAAATTCAGTTTTTATCGATTCTATTGTAAGGGTTGTAAAAAGTGGCAATTCGAATTAAATGTGAGCCTGGATGAGCAATTTTGTTTTACACTTACTAAGAAATGCAAGTACAATAACATTATTCAAGTATCTAAAATAATTACACATCCTGGTAGAACACTACTCCGGGAGTCAGTGATCAGCAGCTGGTAGATCTATAAGCAGTAACAGTTCCCATACCTGTTTGCGTATCTCAGCGTGTTTAGAGTGTTTTCACATGATGCCATCCCCGGAGAAATTGTAGCAATCTGAAGAAAACAAGCCTCATATTAATAAATCACTTCGCAAAGATGAAAGAATTAAAATTTTCTTTTTTTTTTTTTTTTAAATCTCCAATTTAATTTGAGATCTTTTACAGAAACTACTACGTACAGCTGACCCTGTACAATGACATCTCAAGGAGACGGATGTCAAGTCAAAGCTTCAATTTAATTTTTTTTAACCGAACTTGGAACGTTAAGAATTCACAGAAATTCAGTTTCCCCCCATCTAACTGTCTGGGTAGCATAAAATGTAAATGCAAAACTTTAACTGAAAAAATAAAGACTTCTCAGACAGGGAAATACACAGGCAACAGAAAGTAAGTCTAATAAATCCCACAAACAGTTACCAGATTATTATTTTTCTCTACATATTTGTAGGCTGTTCTTCATTCAAGCAGTCTGTATACTGATTTGAGATCTATTTTGGCCAAAACTGTATTTAATAATATTAATCATGTGTTTAAGTATTTTCCTAACATTTTTTTTCCCCTCAGTTAGAAGTTATCTGTAAATAACACTTGATAGCTAACTTACTATCAGGTGTATCTGGAATCTATAGGTCTTTCCTTTTCCGGTTAAATAAAATACCCTCAAGATCTCACCTTCTTTCCAGCACTCAGCAAAACCAGTAACTGTCATCAGGCAACAACGGCATCATTATTTGTCCTAGCTTCCCTCAGAAGTCCAATTTTTCAACCGGTGCTCCTTTCAGGAGAGCCATAAGGGTGCTACCCATGACAAACACCTCTATGATCCTACACACTAGCATTTTTTGTGGCAGCACAGCATCAGCAGACTGAAACTGGTGAAGATCAGACAGTCCTGGTCTTCTCTTTCATCCTGCTGCTGACAGTACTGCACAAAAGCACAGGTAGTCATCCTGAGAAGAATTTCTCCTACTGAGGAGAAAGGAAGAATATGAGGTGGGACGTGGTTAGAAAGTCTAAAGATCCTGCTACCATACAGTTTAAGTTTAAACCTCTAATACCAGAGCACATCAGTTACTAACAAAAACAACAAGTGTGGATTTAAAAAGCTCATACGATTGCATGTCTCTTTATAAAGCGTTCTGGGTACTAAGTAACGAAAACCTACAAGTTCCTAAAATCCTTCCAAACACATTTAACGTGGAAGACGTGTGCACCTCCACCATCAGTTCAGTACTCAGAGCACGCCCCACACGGCAACCGCCCTCACGCCAGGAGAAACGCGGAAGGTACAGCTGCTGTAGGGGGGTGCTGTAGGGGGGTGCTGCTGCTGTAGGGGTGTGCTGGCCACCGCAGCACTTCAGCTGTGACTGCAGCATGTCAAGGATGCGGCACTGCTTAAAAAAGGTGAGACTATTCTACGTAGCTGCCTTGAAAATTTCAAAGATGGTAGCTTATCCTACTACTTAACTGTTCAAAAAACAACTTCAAAAATTTTTTTAAACTATTAAAGGACAGGAACTTCAGTAAAACTGCAGTGAGTAACAATGTTCAAAACAACCTGTTTATGCTGACTGTGTCTCTGGATTTATTTAGAATTCAGGAGATCCTGGTCTTAACTGTCAACATTACGAACTTATTTTCAAAATATTTTTCTGACATTTGAAAAGAAGTTTCCAAATCACACTTCAACCTTATCTAGAGAAGAGAATGCTCCATACCTAAAGATGTAACTTCTAAAATCGCAACAGGAAGTCCGTAAGTGACAAAAGGAAAACTCAAATAAAAATGAAATGTAGAGATTACCAAATAAATTTGACTCAAATATCCCACTTACGGATTAGTATGTCAGAAAGCAACGGAAAAGACCCAGCAGGTATTTTATAACGGCACATTTCAAGAATCTCTTAAAAAGTTGAAATCACAAGTATTTTACTACATCATTTTATATGCCTCTTGTATTGAAAAGCGCCATATATTTGCAAAAGTCTTACTCTCTAACAGCATATTAGAACTCTGGATCACACCTTTGTCTTTTTTAGGAATCCCTTTCCAATATATCTGTTTTCACTGACAAGAAATAACATCTTAAAAGAGGTCTTACATGTTCAATAAATAATACTTTCCAATTGAATTATATTTCTGTCTTGGAAACTCATTAATTTATATTGCCTGCAACAGTCTAAAATATTTTGGAGGAAATGCTGTCAAGATCTACGTGCTATCTTGTGACAGTTATAACAGTTATAACTATAAAGGTCTATGCTTTAATTTAATTTAAGAAAACACTTTCAGAGCACTGATCTATGCAGTCAACTGTAGGAATGTGAAAGGAAACTAATAATTATTAAACTATTTTTGCAATTGTTTTTAGAAGTTTGAAGCATCACAGTTAATCGCATGGCTCTGCTGCAAGCTAGCAGTCAGCATACCCGCAGGACAAGTACTCTTTTAACTCAGTAAGATACCGTTCAAATTTAGCTGTCATAAATCATAGTGCCCTTATAAATTTCATCAGTAAAGTTGTATGATATAAAACCTGCACATGAACATGCTTACAAACCAGGCACACCCTGCCAAGGAGCCAACTGTAAATATTACACTGGAAGGCTGAATAAATTGTCTCAACAAAAGAGGCAAAGGAAGACCCAGAAGAGGGGTGAAGTTGCAGATCACTACCCATTATTCCCACCACTTGGCCACTGGAGTGCAAATCTTTCCACTTTTCAGGGAATTGAGGAGGACTGGAGTCAATTCCAGGCTAAGGTATATCCTACACCTCCCTCAATTCAATATATGTGGTTCAGAAACCTATCAGATCGCCAGACAGGCAGCTTCATTCTGCATCCATCTGGCTATTGAAGGAACAAGTGCTACAAATGTGAGAGCTCAATTCAAACAAGCGTGAAGACACAGTGCACGTTTCTTTCTCTCCCTACTTCCTTTCAACTGTAATTCAGACTAAAACACAACCACCCCATGTTCTTCCCACATCAGTATTTTAAGAAAAACTTTGCCAATTAAATTCTTGACAAAAATTACATGTAAACAAACACTAAAACCAGGATGTCACAAGTGGTCCCAGTACTGAGAAACTGCATGAAAAAGTAACAGAAGAAGAGCATCTCATAATGAAAGGGTTTTCTAACGGATAGAGGGCAGCCCTGAGGAGAGGGACGTGGGGGTACTGATGGATGAAAAGCTGGACATGAGGCGGCAGTGTGCGCTGGCAGCCCAGAAAGCCAACCGGATCCTGGGCTGTATCCAGAGAAGTGTGGCCAGCAGGTCGAGGGAGGGGATTCTGCCCCTGTACTCTGCTCTGGTGAGACCCCACCTGGAGTGCTGCGTCCAGCTGTGGAGCCCTCAACATCAGAAGGATATTGACCACTGGGAGCAAGTCCAGAGGAGGCCACAAAGATGCTCAGAGGGCTGGAGCACCTCTGCTATGGGGACAGGCTGAGAGAGTTGGGCTTGTTCAGCCTGGAGAAGGGAAGGCTCCAGGGAGACCTTATAGCACCTTCCAGTGCCTGAACAGGCTACAAGGAAGCTGGGAGGGGACTTTTTACAAGGGCCTGTAGTGACAGGACAAGGGGTAACGGGTTTAAATTGGAAGTGGGGAGGTTTAGATTAGATATCAGGAAGAAGTTCTTCATGGAGAGGGTGGTGAGGCACTGGAACAGGTTGCCCAGAGAAGCTGTGGATGCCCCATCCCTGGAAGTGTTCAGGGCCAGGCTGGATGAGGCTTTGAGCAACCTGGTCTAGTGGAAGGTGTCCCTGCCCATGGCAGGGGGGTTGGAACTGGATGGTCTTTAAGGTCCCTTCCAGCCCAAACCATTCTAAGATTCCTATTCTTAATTGTAAGGGGACTGTAGTTATGTGAATGAGAAAATAAATAATTTGAGCACTTTCAGAGGCGACCTTTTTCCTCAATTTATAACTATATTGAATATAAAATTAAGGAATGCAAGCTGTGAACACCTACAGATCATGGCTTATTCTCACTGGTATCTCACATTTGAATGGTAAAAACATGTCATGACAACTCTGCATGAAGAGTATAATTAAATAAAATCACTTCACCAAAACAAAGATAGCTTGTTAGCACCTCAAGGAGGTAAGGGTGATGGTGAAAACTTCATGAAATATTCACAAATGTTAATTATTCCGTGTACAGAAAATAATTTCCAACAAGCTAACTTTCCAAACCTTCGTTAGCAGTGTGGATGCACCAGATACAGATGCACAATTTAGCTTTGTGATCCTGCAGAGGATTTATGAAGTTACAGAACCATAAAATAAGTAGGGTTGGAAGGGACCTTTGAAGGTCACCCAGTCCAACCCCGCTGCAGTGAGGGGGGACATCTTCACCTAGATCAGGTATGTGTCAGTGGGAAATAAAACAGTCCTGTCTTTTCATCAGAAAACTAAAGGAGAAAAAAAGATTAATAAAAATGCCATTTTACCACCATTTTCAAGTTAGAACTATACCTAACCGCTAAAGGTAAGACTAGGCTGTCCTAACACTACGGTTTTCATGCTGAGATCTGCAGACTTCTCTGGCATCTAGACTAATTAATTCCAAGGACTCCGTGAAGAGTAACCAACACAAACTAGCAATCAGCGTTCACTGCAGAGTTTTCGTCTCCATAAGGTGAATTGTTAAGGTTGCATAAATAAAATGACTGAACATCAGTGCTTTCATCTGTCCTTTCCACCATCTGACAGAACTCCTCTGCTCTTCAGACTGATGCAAATGCACATTTATACAATATGCAACTATTCATCCCATCTACCCCAACCACTTCCCCCCTCAACAGCCTAGAGCATGTTCTGATGCTTTTGATGCTAACTTTAAATTTGTCTTTGTCATTTAAAGATTGTGACTCACCACCGTACTTCCAGTCTACACCACCTCTTCCAAAATTCTGAGTCAACAAACAATACTCTCATATAATCAAGACATTATTAAAAATAAATTAAAAACATTTACCAAGCTAGAAGTATTTCTAGCGAGGTGCCTGGCTAGAAAACTAGAACAAGCGACAAGAAAGGTCAATAAAAAGTGAGAAAGGAGCAAGTTATTTGAAATGGCTCTGCTGAAAGTCTCACTCCAAATATAGTGTCAGTGGATAAACTTAAGTCCAACACACTGCTAGTAGGAAGTGGCCAATTTTAAACATAAAAACCTAAATTCCCAGCGTCTTTTCACTTTGTAATTGTCAGAACACACAGTCAACCAAACCAACTTACCATACAGGTACGGGAGTTTTCTCCTATGAATGAATCTCTTAACACCTGGGTAAGTTTACTTGCTCTGAATGGTGTATGAGGTTTATTTCGGCCTAAGGCTCTAATGCACTCCTGAAAGAACAAACAGGTTTATGCATTCTTCTTTAATGTGTTGAATAAATATAATACAAATGCAGTTCAAAAATCAGAAAACACGTGCCTTGGTTATGTTGCTGTCCCCTAAAACATCATTAAAATTTACAATTTAAAGCTTGGATTCAAGAAGTGTTAGGCTTTTACTTCTCATTAAATTCAGTAGAGAGGTAGGAACTTGAAAAGAACTTTAAGAATCTCAGGAAATACATCTATTGTATCCAACAACAAAACAAAACATCCATGTTGATGTTAAATGTCCAGACTAACAATTATTTCTTATTATCAGCTACAAAAGCCTGAATGACCTACAACCTCTGCCAGCAGAAGCAGCATGGACAGGGGCTTGTGTTAATTCTATCAGTTAAAAGCAGCAGCTTTGATTCTGGATTTACCACTGACTTTCTTTACAGCTTAAAAAAAACCCCCATCTTTCTAAGAGCTCCCACAGGTCACACACTTAGGAAGCATACCTCTCTACCAGTGTACCCAGTATTGGAAGGCACTTGAAAATATAACTCATTCCCTGTTTTAAAATGTTCTTTGTATAAAAAACAGGGATAAGGTCTCCTCTTTCACTCACAAGGGTATGGGCTAAACTCATATTTGCAATTGGTTGGAGAGTTCCAGTGAGAAATACTGTACAGATGTAAATATCAAGAAATCACTGTAGCAGTTAGAGCAGCAACTACAACAGTGCAAACCAGGTCACACCAATCTAAACATCGCTTCTGCCCACTCAGAGTTCTAACATCAGCTAATAGATTACTTCTTATGCAATGAAAGTTTAAATTTAAATTTCTGTCTTACTGTTGTTGTCATATTTTGACCATTAACACCAGTTTCTGCCTTTGCCTTAATGCTTTGTGTACAGGCATCTCTTCAGATGCATGGCTTCCTTGGTACAGTTTTAACACGTCTACTCAGGGAAGTTCTTCCGACAACCAGACTTCAAAGGCTTTTCAATTTAGAACTTTGTCTTTAGCCACACTAACAGATGGAATGGTTTTTGTGTCACATGAATAGTTCTGCAGTAGTTTGGCTAATGCTCCAGCTGCAGCCATATCCTTGTGGCCTTTTGAAAATCCCTAGAAACAGCTTCTTCCCAAAGCCAGGCTAGAAACTGTGGGATGATAATCCAAGAAAGCATTGCAACTGTGAAACAGTGTAAAACAGAACTAAAAATGGGCACTGAATGAAACTGCCATGGTACAGAACAGAACAAGCACAAGGGCAAGTTGGCTTTAACTAAACTGATTGTTTAAAAAACTCACCAGCCAGATTTTATCAAATGGACACAGCTTAGATAAATAAAAAGACTGAAGCTTGTTGAATGTGAAATTCACATGCATATGCTAAAAAGGACTCACAGGTAAGCAAGGCAGTGCATTCCTTGATTTTTTTTTTTTTTTTAATTTGTACATTAATACTACACCTACATAAGGAGAAAAGGAGATTGGACAGTAAGAGTGGCAACAAATTTTCAACATGTGACATTACAAACTAAAAACAGTAACTAATGTGTATGTTGAATTACTGCTATGGCAACCAACAAGTGTAATTAGGATATTTTAATTTACTATAATGATTTTAGTTTGCATACTCCTGCAAAACTAGAATTGGATTACAACCTTATTAGTAAAAGGATTATAGGAGGACACTGCCAGCTTCTAAATTATTGGAGTTTTCAACTACTTTTGCTTTCCATCACAGCTCAGAAAACCAGGTAACAAAATGACAACACTACTTGCATGTAGAGACATTACAGAAATAACTTCCAGTACCAAAAATCTGAACAGGTTAAGTCAGGACTGATATCCAGACGCAAAGACTGTTATCTTGGGTTAGCAACGAAGACCACTCCTCCGGGCATAGCAGTTTAATGAAAACTTGACAATGAATTCAAGGGTCTTGAATACAAATGGAAAAGCATGTGTAATATTTTTGGGGGTACATGTAAAAAGGAAAACTAACATATCATTGAGAAACCACTGTTGTTTAGACCTCTGCAAGACCTCCATTTATTTTTGTTTCCCCTCCCCATATAATTTAGATCACAACTACTAGCATGGCAGCAGTTGAACCTTTCACTGTAATAAAACCCACAAGTTACATGAAAACAAACTAAGTATGTTTCGTGGGTAATGCATTGAATGCACTAGTCAGTTCAAAATCAACAAGTAAACTGGGGAAAAAAAAAAACAACCAAAACAAACCCAAACCCAAACCAATTTTGTTCAGTTAAAGTTGGAAACAAGTGATAACTTCAACACAGTGTTGCCTGCATAATTTACTTTGATGTTACATCAAAACAGGCCACAGTTTTGGAACTGCTGCTTCCAGTTTTTCACCATGCCATACCATTTTGTAATGGCACATAACAGTTTTGAGACGTTTTGTGAGATCTGCTTAGAGTCCGAATCAAGTCTTCTCCCAGCTTCACGCTGGGGATAAAAAAGTAAGTACAATGATTTTTGTGTTCAAGTTGTTTATATAAAACCACAGTGCTGACGCTGAGAGTAGTAAACCAGAGCAAAGCTAAGCTACAACAGAAATAAATTCTGAGACATTCAAAATTGCTGTTTCCCCAGTTTAGACCAAATAATTACTTTCCCTATTTAGACTGAACCTCTTTCAAGCATTATTAAAAAAAAAAAAGGCACATGAATGTTTACATAATATTTATTAGCTCTTGTCATGTCTGTGTCATACTAATCTGTGTCCTGGATTCATGTACAAAAATCTGCGGTGACTGTATCAGAGAATTCGCTGTAAAGAAAATTAGTCAAAAATTTATTCCAACTTTCAAGATTTATGTTAATCTATTTGGTAGTTCTTTCTGCCTATGTTGCTATTGTGTTGCTTTAGTAAATTACCATCAGTAAATAAATGTATTGTAAAGGTAACTTCATTTTTTTAATTATAAATAAATACTGAGGTCAGTGAGAATATTTCCAGTTAGTATTTCAGACCTTGAGTACCAAAGTAAATCATCTGTCCGCCCATTTTAGATAGGCAACAGTAAAGTCTTCAAATTCAACCACCATGAATTTTTTGTTGGGGTTTTTAATTTTCAGTTTTGTTGTGGTTTTTTTCCTTAATCACACACAAGTAGACAGCACAATGTTTCTGCAATGTTTCCACTTGGTAATTACCAAGTGTTCCTTCAGGCATTTAGGGGGAAAATCAATATATTATTTTACCTGTCACATCAGTAGACAATGTAGACAAGCAAAGCCTGCAAAAACACTTGTTTTAATAGTCATTGCTATTATATGTAGAAGGCTTCCACCTACTCAAAGGCAATGGAAACATTTCAGTTACCTTGAGTGCTAAAAGGCTCTTGTTAATTTCCGCACCTTCCAGTCGAGTCTGCCTATCTGCACTGGAAGTATCTGCTCCTCTTTCATTGCCAGCCAAATCAATCAGAGAAAATTTACCATGCAATTTCCCTTTCCTTCTGAGGATAATCTGAAACACTGCATGGCTTCGAGACGAGTGTGCATTTGCAGATGTCTGGCCAGACGTCCTTTAAACAAAAGCAGAGAAGGGAAGGACACGTGAACAGGCGAAGGACCATACGTGTTAAACACACTAACCTCAGAATGTTAGTTTTTTTCAGGGTAGAGTCCTGTATTTTCTTACTCTTCTTCCACCTCTTCAAACAGATATGGAAGATTTATACCATTTAACCTCCCTTTTAAAAGCAAGAATAATCAGATCTTCAAAGATTTCAGATATCGCTGTTTAAATGTAAAACGCTGATGGCATTTTTATCTGATCAGGCAGCGGTCTATGCACGAGGCTAATTTTAAAAACAACGAAGCTGGATTCTTAAAAAAAAGCAAAAATTTTACAGTTAATCGCTGTCACTGTATATCATGGCCTTTTAGAACTGAAGAATCTGGCAATATTCCAGATGATAAATGATGTGAATTTAACTCAGTAAGCTGGTTACATAATGCAGGCAGTTCACATCCTGTAGAAAAATAGGAGACAGAGAAACTCCCAATACCTTCCTTTAAAAGGTAGGCAGATTCCTTACTTGCAGCCAAGATGAACAGAAAACCCATTGCATATTAAAAAGCCATCGCTATGAAGAGACCCAAAAAAACCCATCGTCTGATTCATTAATGTACAATGAAAAACTGGGAGATACCTGCAGCTGTTGCCTATTTCAATAAGCTTAAGAACATCTTCAACACATTTGACTTCCCGTTCCTGTAATCCCACCACCTGGACTTGCTGTTTACCATCTTCTAACACTCTTAATTTTGTCTTCCTGTTCAGTAAGTCAAAAACCTTAGGGAGGGGGGGAAATGGAACAGTTAAAGAGGAGCATTAGAAGACACTTTTGTTTCAAATCCCATATCAAAATATGAAAAGCACTCCATGGAAAACTATGATTGGAAGGGAATTGTTAAGAATTATTTGAAATAAAGCTTTTAGTACAAAGAGGGCGAAAAAAATCCAAGTAGCCAGAGCTGGAGCCAGACACAGCGAGCGCAGAAGCATGCCACCAAGAGTGACCGAGAGAGAGTGAGCGAGCCCTGGCCCACCCGCAATTTAAATACTGTGCATGACATTTCATGGAATAAAATATCCCTTTGGTCAGTCCAGGTCAGCTGTCCCTCTGTGTCCCAGCTTCACTACAAGAAGCTGGGAACACAGGTGCAGTACCAGATACTGACTAAGTCCTTGACTTGATATCAAGTTTCCTTAGCAACAGCCAAAACCATGAGTATGTTATATTTTTCTCAGCGCAAACAAAACATAGCTTCATACCAGCTATTCTGAGGAAAATTAACTCTCTCCCATCTGAAACCAGCAAAATATGACAAGTTCAAAACCTTGCTTGTGAAAGAGAAATTCCACCTTCCTCGGAGAAGAATCGGGTACTTACCTTACCACTGTAGATTTCAAAAAATGTTGCATATACTTGAAGTTCTAACTTCTTATAGTTTGGTTTCTTTAGCATTAAAAAGACATCTCGAGCTGTGAATACGTTCGCAGAATAAAAAGAAATCTCGTTATGGATTTTCATCTAGTGAAGACTCATTAATGCATAACAGCCTATTTTACAGCAACTCTTGTATTCTGCAGGTATGATAGGGTCAGCCTAAAACATGGCAGTTACAACTGCCACATTACGTCGGAAGATGAAAAGGATCCCAAAATTATAAATTTAATTTATCATCCATTATATTTACCACATTTTTAAAAATGATTTATATATGAATTCACTTCTCTGTGTAAAGACTACAGACCTAGGAACTAATACTGACATTGCCAAAGCTCCACTGTAATGCAAAATATGTACACCCTTATGTTTGTACAACAGGGGGAAGAAATTTTATTGACCTCAACCACTCTGCAAAAAGCCAACAGATCAATAAAGTCTCACCTGCAAGTGCATATATTCCTTTAGAACAATCCTGGTTCTTTCCTGAAAAGTCACCACCCATAGTCTAAATTAAAAAAAAAATAGAAGTTATAAAAATCACAGAACTGAGATGAGTGTATCATACATAAAGAGAAGTCAGTCTTCATTGCTGACATGAAGAAGAGACACTTACATGGGTTTTTCCACTGCCTGTTTGCCCATATGCAAAACAGGTGGCCATTCCCCTTTCAAATATGGTCTCCACTAATGGCCGAGCTGTAAACCTTAAATGCAAAACACAACAGTACTTAAGAAACTGAATTGCTTTAAGATGCCACTACCACAAGGATGCTATACATTTTAAGGCTAGAAGTGACAAAGCTGGTCCTGTACTTTGAGAGGCCAAAGGACATCTCTACATTAATTCCTGAAGTAGAGAGACTATGACTTCTAAGGCAATAAAATATCCCAAACAATCAAATAAAAGCTACAATGTCTCTCCCATTTACAACAACATTATCCTCCTCCAAACCCTAAGAAAAACAAATTTCTTGTTTTAATGATGCAACACAACACAGGTTATTACATGGGGTTTGGAGCTCCCTAAAGAAGACAGAAGACATCGAATTAAGGCAGTGGAGAAGACACTTAGGTTCTGCCAATATCAAAATTTGGCTACAGTTTTGCTTTGGTTTTTTTGTTGTTGCTGTGGTGTTTCCCCCCCCCCCCCCCCCCCCCCCCCCCCGCCGTGTAAATTCAGAAGACCAGGAAGTGGCCAAAACAACATTGCACATCTTAGTATTTTGAGAAAATACATACACTGAGAAAAGGTTCAAAAAAATGGATATCCAAACTCTTCAAAATGGAAAAATCTAGTTATCCCTAAAGGATTACTTGATGTATCAAAAAATATTATCCAGAGTATCATTTTTCTATTTTACAGAATTCATTTTTACTTTAAAAAACATAGTTATTGTTCCTACTTCAGCTGCTTATCATCATTATTACATGAAAAACTCCAAAAGCAAAGGGTAACCTAATAGAGGGTTACCAACGGAGTTACAAGTCTCCCTGCAAAAGTCTCTTTCTAAGCTTTTTCCAGGTATTTACACATTGACTACCTTTCAGAGACAGAAACAGGAGAAATTGTTCACAGAAACACTGAGCTGTTACAACCTTCTTTCATTCAACTTTGGAACAAACCCAGGATCGCTTTAAAACATCATATGGGCAAGACTGAGCTGTTCAGCAACCAAGGGTTATGCAAAAATCTGAGTTTAACTGAATCATGGATTTTCATTAAAAAAATATACCAGATGATTCCTGATCAGCTTTAGTCTTTATTTTGCTTCTTCTAAACATATACTTCCTTTGTCCTCAAGAGGATACCCTGTTCTTTTGATATACAAACTCCAAAATTTCATAAAGCCTATCCACTTAAGCAGCACACTCCATACACTCTGTTTAATCGAGTTGGAAATTATTTATTTTGCTGTTTTATAAAAACAGGACTTAACTATCTATTTTAACGTGAGGCAAAATACAAACATATCTAGAAAAGTTTTCATAAACAAACAACTCCAAATGGTACCATACCAAACAACCTTACTTTTACTAGGACGTTTATTTGCAAACTTGATCTTTCAGAAATGAAAACTCTGGTTTACCTTTAAACCTCAAAAGGCATACCCATTCAAACTAGTGTGCATTTTTTCATATTAATGAAAACTTGCAACTCAGTGTTGCAGCTCATGGATTCAAAAATACTTAAAATACAGCTTAAGCAAAACAATACTAGAGTACTACTTTTCTCCCTCAAACTGAAGAATGTTTCTCAGTATAGAAACACAGTGAGTAACTTTAGCATAACAGAGAAAATTGGAGTAACTTGCCACACTTATTTTCCTCACTGGGACCATGAAATTCTGGTGAGAGCTTATGATGATACTGGTCTTCTTCTTACTTCTGCTATTACAGGAAGCCTTGAAGTAGATTGCACTCCAAGTAGTAATCATTATTGTACCGTATGAGGGAGAAGAAGAAAGCCTATGCTGCTACACAGACTAGAGATCTACTGTTTCAGAATGAAACAGCCATCTTTCAATATTTTCCCGTATTACCATTAATGTATTATGTAACTAATAAAAACTGTCTGGAGAAAACACAAAAATACAACAACTGTATGCCAGAACCACCCCTCTCATTTAAACACTACGCTCACAAAGTCAAATAACAGGAAAGGGAGATTAGAATAACCAGTTGTTAAGCAGGAGGAAAACTATTTCAAGAGGCACACACCACCAGCTAGATTGGTCTCCTGCAGCTCTTCAGTATCAAGAAAGGAAAGATGCTACCAGGAGACAACCCTTAGAGACAGAAACCTCCAAGGTCAGAGCTTTGTTATTTAGAAGTCTTGTTTATGTAAACTAACAGAATACTGAGATTTTCCCTTTGCCACCCTTCTTCTAATTATATCACACATTCAGACATTTTAATTTTCAAGGCCTTTTAAGAATTCTTTTACTATGAATTTTCTGTTCTCCACTGAAGTGTTGTTAGCATTCAACATCGATCGAGACACGATGCGAAATTTTGCTTCCTAGTTGTTGGATTAAAAACAAGAATCAAAAGATATTTCTCTGCCACTACTCCTCAAAGCTATAGGAAGCACTTCACAAGCATGAGGAAAATTATCTTAATCAAATTCCTTTCTAATATCAGTATTCCCTGCAAAAAGCTTCACAGTACTTAGACTGTGTACCAAGATTAAGACCTGCTGTGGTCATAATACCTTGCCTGCTACTGTATCTGCTCCATTTAGTGACTTGTGCAAGGTAAACAGCTACTTCTGAACACATTTTTGTAAGTGCTGTGTGCATTATTCTGTACTGGCTGTAGAAGTGAAACCGAAGAATAGAGGACAAAATGGAGATCCAAATACCTTGAAGCTGAGAATGGATATGTGCCTTTGTTGCTGTTTTGTGGTGTGTTGTGGTTTTTGGGTTTTTTTTGTTTTTTTTTTTTTTTTTTTAAATCTGAAATGTTCAGCATTTTGAGCAAAGTAACAGCTCCATGCACCTCCGTGCTACATCAGCCAGATTGCTCCCAGAAGCCAAGCCAGCTCAGGTGTCTCAGCAATACTGCAATATAAGCGCTCCATCTTCTGTGTACTCTTTCC